GTTGTTGTCTTTATAAAAGCAGAGCATTTCTCTTTGAAAGTCTTCTTCATTTTTAATTTACGCTGAGCCCCAATTTGAGCAGTCTGTAAAATAAATAGTCTCTAATTTCTCAAACTGACTTTGAAAAATATGCCCCGATGGTATCGAAAATGAGGGAATTGAACTGGCGGTATGTGGATATTCCTTTGGATGTGCACTTCGATGAGGGCCAGGCTGACCATTAATAGGAATTCCTTCAGTAACGGGCGAATGCCGAACAGCGGCTGCTACTTCATCTACTTTACTAGAGGCCAAAGCGGGACCTAATCTATCTGATTCAATTTCAAGATCAATTCTTTGAAATTGTTCTTTTAATACTTCGAATTTTCGACTGGTACTTACTTGAGAAACTAAACTTCCGAGTCAGAATCTCCTGCTACATGATTGTTAAAAGGCCCCCGGAAAAAAATTTGTTTCTAATTATTGCCCTTACGGTATTGGCTGTGTAATATCTATCGTATTGTACTCCCAATTTACGGGCTAAACTGCCAGCATGTTTGAAGTTTCAAGGAGTCCAGCTTTGACAATGTTAAATCTTCAAATAACTCTTTAATGTGATCTTTGATGATCAATATTTTGAAATTAACTAAAGATAAATTTCCCATATATAACTTTAATATTTTCTTTTGATCAATGTCTTAGAACAACAGAGCTCCCGGACGAGTTTCCCCATTTGTTTGCGAATAAGAAATTTTTTTAAAGAACTTCAGAATGTGGCCTGTTACCATTATTTCTTATGCAACAAGATTTTTGGATCCGAGTTATTTAAAGTTTTAGAGTCTAGGGGAAATAATTTCAACTGGGAAACTCCATAGAATAATATCAAATTTATAAAGTATTTTTAAATTTAAAAACAATTTCTTTTCTTCTCTTTGTAGTTAATGTAACTTAATACTTTGTACAATAAATTTACCATATACCCTTTTGTTCAAAATCATGGAAATGTCACATTAATAAGGAAGTTTAATTATTCTCCATGTAATTCTCTTCAATAACATTTACGTCTTTGTCTTAACAAGACCTTTGAATCTGGCCATAAAGTATCTCTATGGATTACTGAACTGACCAAGAATATAAATATCAAAAGAGTCTTTCAAAGTGAATGAGGAACAAAGTGATCAGCTCTTAGTCCAATTCTCAAAACCATTCGACTGTACACCGTAAGAAACCAATATACGATCAGTTGTCAGGGCTAGAGCAGGGAGCAGACTGACTACTTGCCAGTCTGTTGACCACGACGTCAGGTTGGATCAGCTGACCCAAACGTCAGCCACCGGACATAAACAATTGAACAATTCCCCCAGATTGTTCCGAGATTTAAACTCTAAAATACACCCAAAAAATCCAACCTAACAATAATAATAAAATAATAGTAATAATACCAAAATAGTGATAATAACAAAATAGCGATAATACCATGGTAATTTTTTTTATATATTAAACAGATAAAAATATAACGCCGAAAGTCTCTATTTTAGCTATAAACGGGGACTTTCGCACTATTATATTAAGTGATGAACATATTCTCGTACAATAGTTAAATAACACAGGATGACCAATTTTGAAGATATAACAGATAGAGATATAGTAGAGATACAGATAGGATATAGATAGACAGATATATAGATAGAGATATAAACAGAGAGACAGCCAAAACAAGCCAGCTGGCCAGCCTGCCAAATACATAAGAACATAAGAAAGAAGGAGCACTGCAGCAGGCCTACTGGCCCATGCAAGCCCGGTACATCTCACACTCCCCCTCCCCTGGCTTAGACCAAATGACCCACCTAGTCAGGTCACATCCATTGACTACACAAGCTAGTCAGGTCCAACTCACACCCACCCACACTCGCTCGTGTATTTATCTAACCTATTTTTACTTTCCTCTTAAAATGGGAGTGTTAATGCGGCATGGCATCAGTGAATCCCTGGTGTTTGCCACGCTATTTGCTCTAGTTGGTGCTCAATGAATTTTGGGGCTCTCACAAGGTTACTAAGTTTTTTTTTTTTTTCAACAAGTCGGCGCCCTCCCACCGAGGCAGGGTGACCCAAAAAAGAAAGAAAATCCCCAAAAAAGAAAATACTTTCATCATCATTCAACACTTTCACCACACTCACACATTATCACTGCTTTTGCAGAGGTGCTCAGAATACAACAGTTTAGAATTATATACGTATAAAGATACACAACATATCCCTCCAAACTGCCAATATCCAAACCCCTCCTTTAAAGTGCAGGCATTGTACTTCCCATTTCCAGGACTCAAGTCCAACTATATGGAAATAACTGGTTTCCCTGAATCCCTTCACTAAATATTACCCTGCTCACACTCCAACAGATCGTCAGGTCCCAAGTATCATTCGTCTCCATTCACTCCTATCTAACACGCTCATGCACGCTTGCTGGAAGTCCAAGCCCCTCGCCCACAAAACCTCCTTTACCCCCTCTTTCCAACCCTTTCGAGGACGACCCCTACCCCTCCTTCCTTCTCCTATAGATTTATATGCTTTCCATGGCATTCTACTTTGATCCATCTCTCTAAATGACCAAACCACCTCAACAACCCCTCTTCTGCCCTCTGACTAATACTTTTATTAACTCCACACCTTCTCCTAATTTCCACACTCCGAATTTTCTGCATAATATTTACACCACACATCTCCACTGCCTCCAACCGTCTCCTCGCTGCTGCATTTACCACCCAAGCTTCACATCCATATAAGAGTGTTGGTACTACTATACTTTCATACATTCCCTTCTTTGCCTCCATAGATAACGTTTTTTGACTCCACATATACCTCAACGCACCACTCACCTTTTTTCCCTCATCAATTCTATGATTAACCTCATCCTTCATAAATCCATCCGCCGACACGTCAACTCCCAAGTATCTGAAAACATTCACTTCTTCCATACTCCTCCTCCCCAATTTGATATCCAATTTTTCTTTATCTAAATCATTTGATACCCTCATCACCTTACTCTTTTCTATGTTCACTTTCAACTTTCTACCTTTACACACATTCTCAAACTCATCCACTAACCTTTGCAATTTTTCTTTAGAATCTCCATAAGCACAGTATCATCAGCAAAAAGTAACTGTGTCAATTCCCATTTTGAATTTGATTCCCCATAATTTAATCCCACCCCTCTCCCGAACACCCTAGCATTTACTTCTTTTACAACCCCATCTATAAATATATTAAACAACCATGGTGACATTACACATCCCTGTCTAAGACCTACTTTTACCGGGAAGTAGTCTCCCTCTCTTCTACACACCCTAACCTGAGCCTCACTATCCTCATAAAAGCTCTTAACAGCATTTAGTAACTTACCACCTATTCCATATACTTGCAACATCTGCCACATTGCTCCTCTATCCACTCTATCATATGCCTTTTCTAAAGCCATAAATGCAATAAAAACTTCCCTACCTTTATCTAAATACTGTTCACATATATGCTTAAATGTAAACTCTTGATCTACACATCCCCTACCCACTCTGAAGCCTCCCTGCTCATCCACAATCCTACATTCTGTCTTACCTATAATTCTTTCAGTTATAACCCTACCGTATACTTTTCCTGGTATACTCGGTAAACTTATTCCTCTATAATTTTTACAATCTCTTTTGTCCCCTTTCCCTTTATATAAAGGGACTATACATGCTCTCCGCATGTGCTTCCAGATTTTTTAAGAGTGTGCACACTGAGTGCACAGACCCATTCTTTCATGTCTATGCGACTGAAGCCTGTAGTGCCAAATTTGAAGGAATGAAAAATAAAACGTTGATCTACGTTTGGAGTGCTACACATGCAAACGTAGATCTATGTTTGGACAGTTTAAGGGTTAAACAACCATGGTGACATTACACATCCCAGTCTAAGACCTACTTTTACCGGGAAGTAGTCTCCCTCTCTTCTACACACCCTAACCTGAGCCTCACTATCCTCATAACAACTCTTTACAGCATTTAGTAACTTACCACCTATTCCATATGCTTGCAAGATGTGACACATTGCTCCCCTATCCACTTTATCATATGCTTTTTCTAAATTCATAAATGCAATAAAAACTTCCCTACCTTTATCTAAACACTGTTCACATATATGCTTCAATGTAAACACTTGATCTACACATCTCCTACCCACTCTAATGCCTCCATGCTCATCCGAAATCCTAGGATCCTCTCATCATCTGCAGACATATTCACGGGTTTTTGTTCCATCTAGCAAATCATGTATGGTATATAATTTAGAGTTTTCAATTTGTTTTTCTTTCTGTCAAGCCATGATTGTAGCAAGTGTTAATTGATGCAGCATCTGGCTTGTGACATTTCCCGGCAGTGACATTTTCCTCATCTTCATTTGCATTTTCCTTTCAAACAACTTTTAAATACAATACATACCTTGTAATTTTGTTAGGTTATTCATTTCCATTACCACTGTGGGCCAAAGAGCTAAAGTCAAAATAACGACATACTGGGATATTGGTGACAAAGGTTCCAGAATGCATCCCTCCTTTTTCTTATGTAATTTTCAGCTGGAGTGCCTTGATGCTCTTGAAGGGTTTTGATTCAAAGAATTGTAGCTATGCTTTCCATCTTGGGTCAGATCTGATTACATTTCATTTTCCAAGCGCCATATTACCACTATGGGTTTAGGACTTCTCTTTGAATATGAAATAAGAGTCTTAGGTAAATAGAAGCATGGTATGCAAATTTAATTATCCATGAACTGCTTGCAGAATGTAACCCTCACTGGTACTGGGGATTACAGCTTGCTTCTCATACTGTGTAGCGTGACATCTAAACTGTCGTGCTTGCCTCTGGCAAGACAGTGATAGTATGAATGATGGTGAAAGTGTTTGATTTTTGGGTCCCCTTCCTCGTGTCAATTTAAAAAACCTCATAAAAGACTCCTTCAGCAGTAATTACATGTTTGTGTTTTATTTGCAGGTAAAGCTCTTGCATATCTAGTATTAGCTCCACCGGCGCCCAAGTTGCCAGCACACACACCTTTACGACGAGCAGCAATTGATTTAATAGGCCGAGGATTCCCCGTTTGGGAACCCTACCTAGACGTGGCTAAGGTGGGTTGTTTGCACATTTATGAACAATGATTTGATTCATAACTGTTTAATATCTGTGCATTGCATACAGTGCAGGTGTGTTGATGTATGGTCTAGATTTTTTATGTATGGTGTAGCCTGCAGGTGTAAGTTTATTGGGAATGTTCGTGTGTATGATTCGTGTTGCTTTGCAATTTGATTCTGTGTTAGTTTGTATATAGGTGTGAAGTATGGGTTGTAAATGCTTCATCAAGGAGGCTAGAGGCAGTGAACATGTCGTGTCTAAGGGCAACATGTGGTGTAAATATTATGCAGAGAATTCGTAGTGTGGAAATTAGGAGGAGGTGTGGAGCTACTAAAAGTATTACTCAGAGGGTTGAAGAGGGGTTATTGAGGTGGTTTGGTCATTTAGAGAGGCTGGAGCAAAATAGGATGACTTGAAAGGTTTATATATCTGTAGTGGAGGGTAGGAGGGATAGGGGTCGTCCTTGGAAAGGAAGGAGGGAAGGGGTAAAAGAGGTTTTGTGCAGGGGGGGATTGACCTTGGATATGCAGCAGGCATGTGTAATAATGTTAGATAAGAGTGAAAAGAGATGAATGGTTTTTCTTACTAATGAGCTGTTGGAATGTGAGCAGGGTAATATTTTGTGAAGGGATTCAGGGAAACTGGTTAGCCAGACTTGAGTCCTAGAGGTGGGAAGTACAGTGCCAGTACTTTAAAGGAGGAGTTTGGGATATTGGCTGTTTGTAGTGACCTCTAAACTGTCGTATGTGGGCACCTCTGTAAAGACAGTGATTATGTGTAAATGATGGTGAAAGTGTTTCTTTTTTGAGTCACCCTGACTCGTTGGGAGACGGTCGATATGTTAAAAAAAAAAAAAAAGACAAGGATTTCTTAACAATAGAGAATTGTTTTTTGTAGTATATTACTCTTGTTACCAAAACACCTTTCAAGTACACCCATGTAAATATTGCTTGTTGTAAGGTCATTATAGTTTATGTAATTCATTCTTCTAGAAGTGATGGAGGGGAAGACTGATACTGAGGCTCATATGAGTTAATATTAGCCAGGTAGAAATTTTTTTTCTTTTGTACTTTAATGGATCGCCCTGCCTTGATGGCAGGGCGATCCAGAGAAGAAAACGCATCTAATATCGTTCATTCAATTGCTGTCTTGCCAGGTAAACTTTTTTTAACACATGGCTATCTCCCACTGAGGCAGTGAGATCTGAATAATGAGAAATACTTTCAGAAAGTTTTTCTCTTTTTACATTTAGCAATTTATACAGGAGAAGGGGTTACTAGCCCTATGCTCCTGACATTTTGCTTGCCTCTTATGACACGCATGGCTTACGGAGGAAGGATTCTTCTCCACTTCCCCACGGAACCAGGTAGAAACGTAGCATCAAACTGTGTTCAGTAATGGCATTTACACGGCACTTTTTGGCTTCAGGTTCTGCTAGCGTTGCTGGACTTGTGTGCTGATACTGACCGCTTGGCACCCAGGTGCGTGATCTTGGTTTTGATTTATAGTTATGGCTGATAGTGAATGACAGACAAAAATTACAATTTCTGAAAAAAAATTGTGAGCTTATAAAGAAGAGAGAGACTCTTAATAGTGATTCCAGTAAGCATATCAACTGAACAGTGCCTGGATACAGTGTTATAAATGATCTTTTGACAGCATTTATTGAGTTGGAAATTGTCTAAAGTGCTTGATAGTATACTGTCTTGCACTTACCAAATGGAGGATTGAGCCTACACCACTCCGTGGGCTGAATGACCTACTTGCATTTAATACTTCACTTATAAATCTGTACAATATGTGGTATTAATAAAATCTTGTACATATGTATGTGAAGAACATGAGGGGGACAATATAGACAGTGTGAGCAGGGTAATGTCACTTAAATATATTAGTGTGTTGGTTAGGTAGGATTAGTTGAAGTTTTGCATAAACCCTGAGTTATATTGCTGTTCATTTTTATGAACAATTTTTTTAACTATAGTGTTGAAAGCTCTCTTTCAAGTAAATAAGTGGTCCAGTTGGATATTTCTTATTATCAAGCATTGTGTAAATTGTTTAGAATTTTTAGAAGAGTGTCAGTGTATCTTTTCTGGTCAAAAGAAAAATTTGCAGGAACTTACACACGAATAACCCGCACATTGGAGAGAGAGAAGCTTACAATGATGTTTCGATCCGACTTGTACCATTTACAAGTTGGACCAAAATGTTGTCTTAAGCTCCTCCTCTCTCCTTTCAAGTTAATTGTATTGTTCCAGCACAGTATTGTGCCCTTTTGTTCTTTGCAAGAACCTAGAATAGATTTATGTTTTGATGTACTACGTACATACATGTATACAAATAGTTTTGCCTTTTTCTCTCAGTCGGTGTGTGCTGGCTAGGGTAATTCTTGTTTCTTTCATAGGGTAAGCATGATCAATTGCTTCAAATATAAAATAACTGATAAATTAGACATAGGTGCAACACTTAGGCATCTTTATCTGGAAATGTTTCACCTCACAGTGGCAGTGACGGGGCTAATGAGCCCCGTCACTTTGAATATTCTGCATTCTTGTCAAGATTGATGGATTGAACACATTGATTCCAGGCTGAGGGACTGATTACCTCAAGCTCCTCCTCATCTTCCACCTTTCTCTGCACTGAACTGAAGAAGCCACTGGCTGGCAAAGCATTTCCAGAATAAAGCTACCCAGATGTTGCACAAGTTTCTCAAGACTAGGGAAATTCTCAAGAAAAAAACTTCAGATGACACAGCAGTGTGCATTAGCATATCTAAGTGGAATGTACATTATGAAAGTTTTTTCATGTTTTCCCACATAGCATGAAGTATGGGCTGCCACTCATACCGGAAGCTGACTCGTGCCGCACCGCTTCCAATGCACTGACACTGATTGCCGAAGCCAGACCACCAGCCTTCATCACAACCATGGCACGGGAAGTAGCCCGCTTTAATGCACTGCAGCAGAATGCGCAAAGCTTGCAGTTAAATATCCATAACACAGTCCTTCATCGTGCCAAAACGGAGATTCTCCGAGTAATGGAGTACCTCATTGTTCATAAAAGATGCCACATAATGGATCTTATGGTTGAGGTAAGCTTGATGCTTGGCTCTTTATTATCTTTATCTTTGACCTTACATTCACAGTTATGTTACATGTTTGTTTATATATATACATCCACTTTACTATTGTAAAAACATTTGTATACAAACACTGTACTATGTAAAGAATTAAGCAAAAGGATTACTGGACAGTAGGAAAGATAAATGAAATGGCACAATTGTGGTTGAAAAGTGTGTTTTATAACATTGAGTAGATAGTGTGGTAGATGTTAAAATATAAATGTGTAATGAAGGAAAGGTGGCTATAAAGATTATTGTATTTACCTTGCAAGAACTTATTTTTTCCCAGTTCTCACCAGTGAGTATCCCCTGCAACGAGAAGCATCTTGCTGCATTTGAAAATCTCTTGATCCCAGGAAATGGAGCTATCTTCCCCTTTCTTGGATCAAACCAGATTACATTCCATTACCCAGGCACATCCCCAGCATGATGCAACTTATTAATGGGACACTTTAGGGACACTTACATTTATTATGGAATCATTTTGCCAGCCAGTGGCTTCATCAGTCAAATACAGAAACTAATGGTGAAAGATGAGAAGGAGTTTGAGGTAATTGATCCCTCAGCCTGGAGATGTATTCAGTTCATTGGTCCTATCAACACTGATGGTCTGAACACACCATCTCCAGGCTGAGGGACTGATTACCTCAAACTCCTCATCTTTCACCATTATTCTCTGCATAGGACTGATGAAGCCACTGGCTGGCAAAATGTTTCCAGAGTAAAGATACCGAAGTGTCCCTCAAGTGTCTCGCTTGTCAACTTGTTGATTTTCTAAACCACTTACATAATGTTGACACAATTTACTGTAGTCAAGTGTTTGTATGTATCTTTGCCATTCAAAAATTGCATTTCTTTTCAAGTTAAAAAAACTGAAATGCTTACATTGTCCTTGTAGTGCGATGTATCCAGCATTTTCTTGTTACTTTAATATGCTTTTGATGAACTCAGAGTTTTTCTACTCTCAGAGCCCAGCCATGGGCCAGGTTTGTCTGGTGTTAGCTTAGTTAACTAGCCTGTTGCTGCTGGAGGTTTGATGACCCATGTATCCATCATAGCTTGGTTGATCTGGCACCTAAGAGTTTTGTATTGTGTGGTAGTGGTGTTTCAAGGGTTTGATATTGTGTGTTAACTAAACTTGAAAATTAGATGCAAACAAGGTATAGACTGAGAGGCACAAAACTGTCTTTAAGATTATATAAAAGTAATGACATGATTGCAAACAAACCATACCATGAGCGGGGATAGAACCCATGATCAGAGAGTCATAAAACTCCAGACCGACTCGCTAGCCACTGGGCCAGCAGGCTATAACAAGATTCATCCAACTAGGTATATTTATACCTTGGTATATTTATACCTAGTTGGACATTTAGTAATTTATACAGGAGAAGGGGCTACTAGCCCCTCTCTCCCAACATTTTAGTCACCTCTGTTGTTGACATGAATGTGATTGTTTTACAGGTGATGGACATAGTGTTACACTGTGTTGATTCTGGTCATCTCAAGAGCCGGGGGCTTAATGAGGTGTTTCCCTCCATCTGTGGTTTCCCTCAAGTCTCCCACTGTCCTCACACCCGGCGCATTGCTACTGGGGCAAAAAATGGCAATATTGCTATATATGAACTAAGAGCATACAAGTGCCAGGTTAGTGACGGTTTCTACCATGTCTTAGTACAGTGGAGCTTCGGTGTTTCAACTTAATTGATTCCTTAGTGGTGGTCCAACTGTGAAAAGTTCAATGTGGGAAACAGTATTTCCCAGGCTTTAATTATCAGTCTCTCACACTGGAGGATGTTGAACTGGCTCTTCCAAAAGTCTCTGAGAGGTAGGTCAGTGTCAGAGGTCACTTCAAAGCACTTTTGAAATGGCTTTCACGTGAAGCTTTTTAAAATGGAATTTTAACCCTTTGACTGTTTCGGTCGTATATATATACGTCTTACGAGCCACCTTGTTTGACATATATACTCATAAATTCTAGCGGCTTCAAATCAAGCAAGAGAAAGCTGGTAGGCCCACATGTGAGAGAATGGGTCTGTGTGGTCAGTGTGCACCATATAAAAAAATCCTGCAGCACACAGTGCATAATGAGAAAAAAACTCTTTTTTTTTTTTTAATTAAAACATCGAATTTGTGGTCTATTTTTGTATAGTATTTATGGTTGTATTCTCATTTTCTTGGTCTCATTTGATAGAATGGCAAACATGTTATAGAAATAGAGGTGATTTTGATTGGTTCTATTATGAAAAGAACCTTGAAATGGAGCTCAAAGTAGGGGAAATGTTTGATTTTTGCCAATGTTCAAAAGTAAACAAATGATGTCATTTTCCAATAAATGTCCAACTAGCCATTCTGATATGCAGTCATGAATGGGTTGACATTATTTATATAATTATTACAATATTGCAGTAGTCTGCATAACAGTAAATCTTCTATTTTTTGTTTGAATAAAAATTCAAAATAGAAGCAAGAGTAATATCAGAGGGGCCTGGAGACGTGACTGATGAACAAAGAAAATGTTATTTTAGAGCCAGGAATGTCTGCAATGTTCATTCTGGACCCTGTTTTGAAATTGGCATATTTTTTAATTTGCGTGAAATTGGCCAAATTGCCAATTTCTGACCACTTTATTGGGTAGTTGAAATCGGTAAATGGCAGTTTCTTGTATTCAGTCGATACTACAAATGGACTTCTAAGAAAACACTTATGAGTTTGGTTGACTGGAACAATGGAATTAGCCGAAAATAGGGCTCAAAGTGGGGGAAATCGCCGATTTGTTAATATCGCTGAGGTCACTAACTTTGCGAGAACGTAATTCTGTAAGTTTTCCATTAAATTTTGTACTTTTGGTGTCATTACCATCAGGAAAAGATTGTCTATCACTTCATAAGAAAAATAATTTTTTTTTTTTTTGCAACACCAGGAGACACCTCAGGATTTGGGGTTGCGACAGTCAAGGGGTTAAGCAAGTCATTGCGTTCAGACCCCAGAAAAACATTCACAGACCAGATCAATTTTTTCTGAATAAAATTGTTTGGGCTCCGGTTTGTTCTAGGTCTGGTATGTTCGAACACTGAGGTTCCACTGTAATCTTGAAGGATGATAATACTGCGATCATGGGCTCTTGCCAGAGAGGCCACCGTATTAACTCCAGCCACTGATACATTCATTTTTACCCTCTCTTCCTTCTCTCCTTTTCTGAGGAACTTCAAGAACACAAAAGAAGTATGGTCTAATGAACATTAACAACAGTCTTTTCTGTCAAGTTAGAGGACCCACATCATATGCTGGTCTATTTTTTTTTTTTTAATCTTTATAGTGCCATCTTGTTGAATCAGTCCTAACACACAAAACTTAAACATAAAATTAGCTTTAGCTTTGTTTGCTAATGAGTGTGAAGTGTTCCAATACACGTGTGACATGACTTGATCTGGTACACGTGTGACATGACTTGACCCGGTACACGTGTGGCATGACTTGACCCGGTACACATGAGACATGACTTGACCATGGCATCTCTTCTTATACTACCATGATCTACCAGCTTTCACTGCTTTCACACACCTCGCTTGGCAATGTTTCGTTTGGACAAAAATGTCGTTAAGTTTTTCTTTCCAGAATATGGGGGTTATGCTTTGTTGCAACCATGGTATTATCACTTTATTTTCCATTGACATTCTCTTTCATAGATGATTGCAGCTCACGGGTCATCAGTGACAGCCCTCTCCTTCTCTCCTGATGGCAAATACTTGGCGTCCTATTCTATTGGGGAAAATAAACTCTCGTTTTGGCAGGTAAGTTGTGATGAAATAGAAGTTGTAATACTATTTTGTCATTCCTCGAGTCAGTTAATGTTAATTTACCACTGAGCATAAGTTTATTTTCTCTCTTTCACTTGGTATTCAGTCATAGCAGTTTTTAGTGTTAGTATATAATAAGTGTGTTAGTCTCTGAATATTGGCACTCTTCTGACAAGACAGTGATGAAGTGAGAGAAAATGAAAGTTTTTCTTTCTTTTTGGGTCACCCTGCCTCGGTGGGTCACCCTGCCTCGGTGGGTCACCCTGCCTCGGTGGGTCACCCTGCCTCGGTGGGTCACCCTGCCTCGGTGGGAAACGGTCAACGTGATAATTTTTTTTTTTTTTTTTTTTAACAAGTCAGCAGTCTCCCACCGAGGCAGGGTGACCCAAAAATAAAGAAAATCCCCAAAAAGAAAATACTTTCATCATCATTCAACACTTTCACCTCACTCAAAAATATATAAAAATATAAAAGTATACCTACCATCTGACTTACGACCGAGTTTGGTTCCGAGAAACCGGTCGTAAGTCGAAATGGTCGTAAGTCAAACTTTACTACTGAATATCAGCAAAACATTTTTGTAATGACTTTATTTTATTGTTTTATTTTGGTATTTCATGTTTTACTTTACTTTTTATGTTGTTAGTACTGTATTTTATACTGTAAGGTTTAGGATAAACACTGTGTATAACACAAATAGTTGTCTATTTCCCAGAAATTTGGCATAAAAAACACGGTCGTAAGTCGAGTGGCCGTAAGTCGAGCAGGTCTTAAGTCGGATAGTAGATGTATATAAAAATATATAAATATATACATGTATATACATGTATATATAGGGTGGATAGGGGAGCAATGTGGCAGATGTTGCAGGTGTATGGTATAGGAGGTAGGTTACTGAAAGCAGTGAAGAGTTTTTACGAGGATAGTGAGGCTCAAGTAGAGTATGTAGGAAAGAGGGAGATTATTTCCCAGTAAAAGTAGGCCTTAGACAAGGATGTGTGATGTCACCGTGGTTGTTTAATATATTTATAGATGGGGTTGTAAGAGAAGTAAATGTGAGGGTCTTGGCAAGAGGCATGGACTTAAAAGATAAAGAATCACACATAAAGTGGGAGTTGTCACAGTTGCTCTTTGCTGATGACACTGTGCTCTTGGGAGATTCTGAAGAGAAGTTGCAGAGGTTGGTGGATGAATTTGTAGGTAGTAGGTTGGTAGACAGCATCCACCCAGGGAAGTACTACCGTCCTGCCAGATGACTGTGAAACAGAAACCTGTAACTATTTTACATGATGGTAGGATTGCTGGTGTCTTTTTCTGTCTTATAAACACGCTAGATAACAGGGATATCTTGCTACTCCTACTTACACTTTGGTCACATTTCACAGACACGCACATGCATATATATATACATACATCTAGGTTTTTCTCCTTTTTCTAAATAGCTCTTGTTCTTCTTTATTTCTTCTATTGTCCATGGGGAAGTGGAAAAGAATCTTTCCTCAGTAAGCCATGCGTGTTGTATGAGGCGACTAAAATGCCGGGAGCAATGGGCTAGTAACCCCTTCTCCTGTAGACAATTACTAAAAAAGAGAAGAAGAAAAACTTTATAAAACTGGGATGCTTGAATGTGCGTGGATGTAGTGCGGATGACAAGAAACAGATGATTGCTGATGTTATGAATGAAAAGAAGTTGGATGTATTGGCCCTAAGCGAAACAAAGCTGAAGACGGTAGGGGAGTTTCGGTGGGGGACAATAAATGGGATTAAATCTAGAGTATATGAGAGAGTTAGAGCTAAGGAAAGGGTAGCAATAATGTTGAAGAATCAGTTATGGAAGGAGAAAAGAGAATATGAATGTGTAAATTCAAGGATTATGTGGATTAAAGTAAAGGTTGGATGCGAAAAGTGGGTCATAATAAGTGTGTATGCACCTGGAGAAGAGAGGAATGTAGAGGAGAGAGAGAGATTTTGGGAGATGTTAAGTGAATGTATAGGAACCTTTGAACCAAGTGAGAGAGTAATTGTGGTAGGGGATCTGAATGCTAAAGTAGGAGAAACTTTTAGAGAGGGTGTGGTAGGTAAGCTTGGGATGCCAGGTGTAAATGATAATGGGAGCCCTTTGATTGAGCTTTGTACAGAAAGGGGTTTAGTTATAGGTAATACATATTTTAAGAAAAAGAGGATAAATAAGTATACAAGATATGATGTAGGGCAAAATGACAGTAGTTTGTTGGATTATGTATTGGTAGATAAAAGACTGTTGAGTAGACTTCAGGATGTACATGTTTATAGAGGGGCCACAGATATATCAGATCACTTTTTAGTTGTAGCTACACTGAGAGTAAAAGGTAGATGGGATACAAGGAGAATAGAAGCATCAAGGAAGAGAGAGGTGAAGGTTTATAAACTAAAAGAGGAGGCAGTTAGGGTAAGATATAAACAGCTATTGGAGGATAGATGGGCTAATGAGAGCATAGGCAATGGGGTCGAAGAGGTATGGGGTAGGTTTAAAAATGTAGTGTTTGTGTGTTCAGCAGAAGTTTGTGGTTACAGGAAAGTGGGTGCGGGAGGGAAGAGAAGTGATTGGTGGAATGATGATGTAAAGAGAGTAGTAAGGGAGAAAAAGTTAGCATATGAGAAGTTTTTACAAAGTAGAAGTGATGCAAGGAGGGAAGAGTATATGGAGAAAAAGAGAGAGGTTAAGAGAGTGGTGAAGCAATGTAAAAAGAGAGCAAATGAGAGAGTGGGTGAGATGTTATCAACAAATTTTGTTGAAAATAAGAAAAAGTTTTGGAGTGAGATTAACAAGTTAAGGAAGCCTAGAGAACAAATGGATTTGTCAGTTAAAAATAGGAGAGGAGAGTTATTAAATGGAGAGTTAGAGGTATTGGGAAGATGGAGGGAATATTTTGAGGAATTGTTAAATGTTGTTGAAGATAGGGAAGCTGTGATTTCATGTATAGGGCAAGGAGGAATAACATCTTGTAGGAGTGAGGAAGAGCCATTTGTGAGTGTGGGGGAAGTTCGTGAGGCAGTAGGTAAAATGAAAGGGGGTAAGGCAGCTGGGATTGATGGGATAAAGATAGAAATGTTAAAAGCAGGTGGTGATATAGTTTTGAAGTGGTTGGTGCTATTATTTAATAAATGTATGGAAGAGGGTAAGGTACCTAGGGATTGGCAGAGAGCATGCATAGTTCCTTTGTATAAAAGCAAAGGGGACAAAAGAGAGTGCCAAAATTATAGGGGGATAAGTCTGTTGAGTATACCTGGTAAAGTGTATGGTAGAGTTATTATTGAAAGAATTAAGAGTAAGACGGAGAATAGGATAGCAGATGAACAAGGAGGCTTTAGGAAAGGTAGGGGGTGTGTGGACCAGGTGTTTACAGTGAAACATATAAGGGAACAGTATTTAGATAAGGCTAAAGAGGTTTTTGTGGCATTTATGGATTTGGAAAAGGCGTATGACAGGGTGGATAGGGGGGCAATGTGGCAGATGCTGCAGGTGTATGGTATAGGAGGTAGGTTACTGAAAGCAGTGAAGAGTTTTTACGAGTGTAAAAGTGAGTGTAAAACGAAAGCCTGTAATTGTTTTACATGATGGTAGGATTGCTGGTGTCCATTTTCCTGTCTCATAAACATGCAAGGTTTCAGGTACGTCTTGCTACTTCTACTTACACTTAGGTCACACTGCACATACATGTACAAGCATATATATACACACCCCTCTGGGTTTTCTTCTATTTTCTTACTAGTTCTTGTTCTTGTTTATTTCCTCTTATCTCCATGGGGAAGTGGAACAAAATTCTTCTTCCGTAAGCTAGTAACCCCTTCTGTATAAATTACTAAATTTAAAAAGAGAAACTTTCGTTTTTCTTTTTGGGCCACCCTGCCTTGGTGGGATACGGCTGGTTTGTTGAAAAAAAAAAATATAATAAGTGTGTTAGTCTCCTAATATTGGCACTCTTCTGACAAGACAGTGATGAAGTGAGTGAATATGAAAGTTTTTCTTTCTTTTTGGGTCACCCTGTCAGCATAGTTGCTGATCCCCCTTACATGTGTTGTATAGCTTAGCTGAGTATCATAGTATCATCCATATGTTTTATATAGAGGATCCCTTACTAGGCCTAGTGACTGTATGACGTCACGGGATGCGGCATGAGTGAGTGGGATGCGCTACCTCGCTCTCAGTCCACGCTTAGACCTACCAGGCAGCAACACGGCAGGCTGGGCCCTTCCTTACCACAGTCTGACAATATAGTGTTACCATCCACAAGAGTGTTTTAAAATCTTCAACCATCATATCTCCTTTCGAACCCCCACAACAACCCTGCCTCGGTGGGAAACGGCCAACGTGATATTTTTTTTTTATTTTTTTTTTATAACAAGTCAGCCATCTCCCACCGAGGCAGGGTGACCCAAAAAGAAAGAAAATCCCCAAAAAGAAAATACTTTCATCATCATTCAACACTTTCACCTCACTCACACATAATCACTGTTTTTGCAGAGGTGCTCAGAACACAACAGTTTAGAAGCATATACCTATGAAGATAACATATCCCTCCAAACTGCTAATATCCTGAACCCCTCCTTTAGAATGCAGTAATTGTACTTCCCATTTCCAGGACTCAAGTCCGGCTATATAAAAGTAACCGGTTTCCCTGAATCCCTTCACTAAATATTACCCTGCTCACGCTCCAACAGATCATCAGGTCCCAAATACCATTCATCTCCATTCACTCCTATCTAACATGCTCACACACGTTTGCTGGAAGTCCAAGCCACTCGCCCACAAAACCTCCTTTACCCCCTCCCTCCAACTTTTTCGAGGACGACTCCTACCCTGCCTTCCTTCTCCTACAGATTTATATGCTCTCCATGTCATTCTACTTTGATCCATTGTCTCTAAATGACCGAACCACCTCAACAACCCCTCTTCAACCCTCTGACTAATACTTTTTTTAACTCCACACCTCCTAATTTCCACACTCTTGAAT